AAAACAGGATTTTAAAATTCTTAATTGTGTCTGGGCTTATTAATACAGTGATTGTTTTCAGTTAAATAATGACAAAATATTTTGTATTTGAATTTTAATTGTGTAATTTACAGTACTATGTTTCTCCTGGTTTCTTTAGTCATTGGAAAGGAAATTGCTTATGGTAATCTCTCAGAAAGATCCATATCACTCCTTTTTTCAACACTTCAGCTACAACCACATGATGGAGAAAATTAGAAGTTACGTGAATTCTATGCTAAGGGAAAAGTCATCAACTTTTCTAATGAAGGTATATTATTTCAAGGAATCTAACATGGACATTAATAAAAGGAGAACATTTGAAATAGAAAACATCCAAAACTAATGAAGATTTTACATAGTGGTTTTGCAGAAGAATATAAAATGTTAAAATTAGCAAACCTAAAGGGTCTGTAGGTGATCTGTATAGTATTTTTGCTGCCTTTTTTTTGGACAGTGGTAGTGACGGGGCCTTGGGTTTCTCACATGATAGGCAAGTGTTCTAACCTGAGTTATACCCGGCCCTGTGATTTTTCAGAATATGAGTTGGGGAACTTTTCAGACTAAAAAGTTGAGAGGAAAACTTAGGATGAATTAAGAAATAATTGAAAATTAATTTTTAGTTTTAAGTGAATTTTCAATAAAATTTTTAACATTTTTAAGAAAAACAAAGTTCAGGAAGGACATTTTTTTCCTTCATTTTTATTTTTTCCGGTGCTGGGAATTGAGCCCAGGGCTGTGTATGTGATAGGCAAGTACTCCATCTCTGAGCTATGTCCCCAGCTCCGACCCCTTTATTGACAGTACCTGGGACTGATTTTAGACTTTCACACTTAAGCCACATTCCCCAACCCTTTTTTAATTTTTTATTTTGAGTCAGGTTCCCTCTAGTCACTTAAGTTTCCCGGAGGAGGCTGGAACTTGGAATCTTTATGTCTCTGCCTCTCAGAGTGCAATACTACAGATCTCTCATCATGCCTGGCTTAAGGTTTTTTTTATTTTTTTATTATTTATTTATTTATTTATTTTTTGGTTTTGGTTTTTTTCCCGGTACCAGTGATCGAACTCACGACCTTGCGCTTGCCGAGCAGGCACTGTGCCGCTGAGCTAAATCCCCAGCCCCCAAGTTAATGTGTTATTACAGTGAAACATTGTAATTACAGGTAGTTCATTTTGAAATATCTGGGATTTTCATTTACTTAAGTAGGTTTTTTGTTTTTTTGTTTTTTTTTTTTTTCTTAAAATTGCCTAGAAAGCACTGTGTCAAGCATATTTATTGGGAAAGATCTCTGTAGTTCTTACAAATCAAGCAGGTAGCTAAAGTAGTTGCCAGCACTGTTAAAATTACTGCTGAAAAATAACAACATGTTACTGTTTCCTGGCTGGTGAACAGATACTTTAGCTATGACTATCCGGTAAACAAAAGATTTAATTTAATGATCTTCATTTAAACTGGCTTAATGCTTGCTTTTCTCTCCCTCCTCTCTGCTCACATCACTTTTTAAGGCAGCAATAAAAGTAGTGGAGAGTGAGAAAACAAGAATAGTAACTTCTCAAGATAAACCCAGTGGTGATGATGATGAAGCAGAAACGGAAGCTCATTTGATTGAAGGAAAAAGGTTTGTAAACTCTTTCCTTTTTGTCTTATGAATGTTCTTTTTCTTTTTTTTTTTTTTTTTTT